GAATTCAAATAGAAAGAGAGGAAGTCATATTGTCTTCGTTTGCAAATGACATGATCCTATACCTAGAAAACCTCATCCTCTCAGCCCAAAAGCTCCTTAAGCTAATATGCAACTGCAGCAATGTCTCAGGATACAAAATCAACGTGCAAAAATAACTAGTATTCCTACACCAACAACAGAAAAGCAGAGAGCAAAATCATGAATGAACTCCCACTCACAGTTGCTACAAAGAGAATAAAATACGTAGGAATACAGCTAACAAGAGAAGTGAAGGACCTCTTCAAGAGAACTACAAACCACTGCTCGAGAGAATTAGAGAGGACACAAACAATTGAAAAATATTCCATATTCATAAATAGAATCAATATCATGAAAATGGCCATATTGCCCAAAGCAATTTATAGATTGATTCAATGCTATTTCCATTAAACTACCATTGACATTCTTCGCAGAATTAGAAAAAAAAACTATTTTAAAAATCATATGGAACCAAGAAAGAGTTCAAATAGCCAAGACAATCCTAAGAAAAAAGAACAAAGCTGGAGGCATCACACTACCCAACTTCAAACTATACTACAAGGCTACAGTAACCAAAACAGCATGGTACTAGTACAAGAACAGACACAGACCAATGGAACAGAACAGAGAACTCAGAAATAAGACCACACACCTACAACCATCTGATCTTCAACAGACCTGACAAAAACAAGCAATGGGGAAAGGATTCCCTATTTAATAAATGGATCTGGCAGAACTGGCTAGCCATATGCAGAAAATTGAAACTGGACTCCTTCCTTACACCTTATACAAAAATTAAGTTGGTTAGGCATGGTGGCTCATGCCTGTAACCCCAACACTTTGGGAGGCCAGAGCAGGTGCATCACATGAGGACAGGAGTTTGAGACCAGCCTGAACAACACAGTGAAACCTTGTTTTTACTAAAACTACAAAAATTATCCAGGTGTGGTGGTGTACATCTGTAATCCCAGCTATTGGCAAGTCTGAAGCAAGAGAATCGCTTGAACCTTGGAGGCAGAGGTTGCAGTGAGCCTAGATTGTGCCACTGCACTCCAGTCTGGGCTACAGAGTGAGACCCTGTCTAAAAAAAAAAAAAAAAAACAAATTAACCCAATATGGATTAAAAACTTAAATGTAAAACCCAAAACTATCAAAACCTTTGAAGAAAATCTAGGCAATGCCATTCAGGACAGATGCATGGGAAAAGATTTCATGACAAAAATGCCAAAAGCAATTGTAATAAAAGCAAAAATTGACAAATGGGATTTAATTAAACTGAAGAGCTTCTGCACAGCAAAATAAACTATCATCTGAGTGAACAGACAACTTACAGAATGGGAGAAAATGTTTGCAATCTATCCATCTGACAAAGGTCTAATATCCACAGTCTACAAGGAACTTAAACATATTTACAAGAGAAAAAAATTAGAAAGTGGAGAAAGGACATGAACAGACACTTCTCGAAAGAAGACATTCGTGGGGCCAAAAAACATGAAAAAATACTCAACAGCACTGATCATTAGAGAAGTGCAAATTAAAACCACAATGAGATACCATCTCACACCAGTCAGAATGGCGATTATTAAAAAGTCAAGAAACAACAGATGCTAGCAAAGCCATGGACAAATAGGAATATGTTTCTTTGTTTGTTTGTTTGTTTGGTTGGTTGGTTGGTTGGTTGGGTGGTTGGTTGGTTGGTTGGTTGGTTTTTGAGACGGAGTCTCGCTCTCGTTGCCCAGGCTGGAGTGCAATTGCACGATCTCTGCTCACTGCAACCTCCGCCTCCCGGGTTCAAGCAATTCTCCTGCATCAGTCTCCCAAGTAGCTGGGATTACAGGCACCTGCCATCACACCCGGCAAATTTTTGTATTTTTAGAAGAGACAAGGTTTCACCATGTTGGTCAGGCTGGTCTCAAACTCCTGACCTCGCGATCTGCCCGCCTCAGTCTCCCAAAGTGCTGGGATTATAGGCGTGAGCCACCGTGGCCAGCCTGGTACATGTTTACACTGTTGATGAGAATGTAAATTAGTTCAGCCATTGTGGAAGACACTGTGGCAATTCCTCAAAGATCTAGAGGCAGAAACACCATAAGGAATATAAATCATTCTATTATAAAGACACATGCACCCGTATGTTCATTGCAGCACTATTCACAATAGCAAAGACATGGAATCAACCCAAATGCCCATCAATAGTAGAATGGATAAAGAAAATGTGATACATATACAAATGTGATACATATACACCATGGAATACTACGTATGCAGTCGTAAAAAGGAATGACTTTGCAGTGACATGGATGGATCTGGAAGCCATTATCCTCAGCAAACTAACACAGTAACAGAAAACAATGCCACATGTTCTCACTTTTAAGTGGGAGCTGAACAATAAGAACACATGGACACAGGGAGGGGAACAACACACACTGGGGCCTGTCGGGGGGGCCAGGGAAGGGAGAGCACCAGGATAAACAGCTAATGTATGTGGGGCTTAATACTTAGCTGATGGGTTGATAGGTGCAGAGAACCACCATGGCACACATTTATCTATGTAACAAACCTACACATCCTGCACATGTACCCCAGAACTTAAACTCTGAAGGAAAAGAGTGTTTTCATTGATAAAATAGCTCAATGTTTGCGATTCATACACACTGTGTTAAAAAAAAAAATCAAGAGTTATTCCAGAAAAGTAGTAAAAGATTCCAAGAAAAGGAAGATGGGATTTCATTTTCTGTGGCAGTTGGTTTCACCCATAACAAGTAAAAAAGTTAGAAAAAAAAGTCAGTGCTCCATTAGATTCTGATGCCTAAAATATCCTCCTTTGACCATCAAAGCTTTACTGGCATAAGAAATATTTATTTCTTTATCCAATAGTTAATATTATTTATATATTTATAATACTGTAAAATGCTATTTATTTATTTAATTCTTACATCAATCTCTAGACAAAGTGCAAAAGCCCTACAGAATTAGTTATAAATTATCTAAACCCTGACAACGGGTATAAGAAACATACAATTACATTACACCTCTTACTGTTCACAGCAAGCAAACAGTAGACATTGTGTAACATATATATAGATATTATGTAAAATCAAAAATAAGAACCAATATTCAAATATATATATTTATATATATGTTTATACTTATATATTTATATAAAAAATATATATTTAAACATAAGCCACAAGTAGAGAGAGTGGACTCGACATATCAAATATAATATTACCAATATTGTCTACAGTTTATAAATTAAAATAGAAGTAAGGGCATACATATTTTTAAATAAATAAATTTAACCAACAGAAGAACTTAAATGGAAATTATTAAATTCTTCAATAGGACTAAATGAAGGGGTAGAAAGTTTTACTATCACTTTTCGCTTTGTATATCTATAGCTTAAACAATTTACCATGTGTATTCATTCTTTCAGTAATAAAAAATGTTTACGTATTAGAAATAAAAACAGGTGCTGCAAAATCACATTTTGCAAAAAAAAATACATAGAAAGAGCTACAGTAGCAGATAAACAGAGAAAGACACAAAGTAGAAGATATATATGCAGGTGATATGTAATGATCAAATCAGGGTAACTGGACTATCCATAACCTCAAACATATGCCATTTATTTATTTTGAGAACAATCCAAATCTTGTCCTCTAGCTATTTTGAAATATACTATAAATTATTGTTAATTATAGTCACCCTATTGTGCTATCGAATACTAGAACTGGCCAGGCATGGTGGCTCATGCCTGTAATCCTAGCACTTTACGAGGCCGAGGCAGGCAGATCACTTTAGGCCAGAAGTTCGAGACTGGCATGGCCAACATGTTGAAAACCCTTCTTTACTAAAAATACAAAAAACTTCAGCCAGTTGTTGGGGTCACCTCTGTACTGAGACATGAGAATCGCTTGAACACTGGAGGCAAAGGTTGCAGTGTGCCAAGATCGGGCCACTGCACTCTAGCCTGGGTACAAGAGCAAGACTCTGTCAAAAAAAAAAAAAATACTAGAACTTATTCCTTCTACCTAACTGTAATTTTGTGCCCATTACTCAACTCCTCTTCCTCCCCTCTTCCCCGACCCTTCCTAGCCTCTGGTAACAACCATTCTGCTCACTGCCTTTACATACAACTATTATGTATCAATAAAAAAATGAATAAAAGTTTCTAAAATCATGTTCTAAATTTTTTTTATTTAAAAGTCTTTTAAGTTTTAAGTTTCTTAAAACTTTTTATTTAAAAGTTTTAAGAAAACAAGAAGATACATATATCAATCAAAACGTTAATAGTGGTTATCTCCACCTGGTGGCAAAATGCAAGATTATATTAATTTTCTTATATGTTCCTATATATATACTTAACAAATTTGACATCATTAACATAAATTATTTTGTAAGTTAAAAAAAATAGTACTTAAACTTGTTTTTTAAAAAAGGAGTAGGGTAAGAAAATAGCACAAAGAGAAGCATCAACTTTTTAATAATGCATTTATTTTTACCTATTATATATATAAAATCACATTTATCAATATTATAAATACATATAAAAGTTTATTTTACTGGCTTTCAGAGTTCTGAAACATCTTAAGGAATCCTTAATCTAGTTTTTGTTTTGATTTTGAATCTATTTTATCTATAAGAATATTTCTCCAATTTTATGTCTGCAAGCAAAAATCTATTTTGGGTTGTAGAAATTTTATTGCAGATAATTTTTCACAATGCATTATTCTATGTATCAAGAAGAGCATGTGTATTTATGATATTTTTATTCCAACTCCCAAACATAATTAATTGCAACAAGATATTGATCTACAAAATATTCTTCCTTCTAAACACTTAAAAATTTTAACAGTAATGGAAGACAAATGCAATCTGTAAATGTAAACATGCACATAAACTGTATAAAATATATGCTATCATGTTAAATAATTTTTAAATGTGTTAATTAAAAAAAAAAAGATTAAACAGTTACATACCAGTGCAACTCCTGCAGAATAACGAGTAATACACATCTTTCCAGGAAACGTTGCTCCCACATAATCAGGATAATCCCTATAACTAAATAAATAAGTTTACATTTATAATTGATTTTAACAGACAATTTAAAAATGAGAATTCCTGCTAATAATTTAAGTCTGCAGTTCATAAAATCCAAATCTGAAGCAAATTGAGGTACGATCTTTCCATATGTTCTTAATTGTTTCAAATTTGCAATACCATTTAATATGACATTTTAGTATTAATTAGATTAAATACTCTTGATATCTGAAACATATCCAATGGATCCAACTTTTTAATGCCTTTATTGTTCTCATCACATCTGGCTACATTTACCAAAGGTTTTGCTCCAATATTCTGATAAAAAATACTTTGTTGAGTGACAGTGACAAATCATTTTAATGTGTAGATTAAAATGTGTTGCTCCCAGGTAGTAAAGTTCAACAGTTTCCAATAGGAGTGCTTTATTGTTTCACACCTAAACATTATTATTTCAGCTTTGAGTAAGGGGCCATTTAAACTGTCATATAATAATACACTATTCTCAGAGCTTTACATCAACTAATCCATTTAATACTCAAAACAAACTAGTGAATATTATTTTTGTCCCCATTGAGCAAATCAAATGTCAGATGGGAAGTATAAGTAACTCTCTCAAGGTAGCATGACTAATACATCCTACTGAAGAATCTGAACTTAGGCAGTCTGAATCCGAGCCATATTCTCAACCACTAAGGTATAGAAGCTCCAAGCATTCACTGCCTTATTTAGAGCCCCCACCAAACAAGCCAGGATGTGAGTAAAGAAACTTAAGAAGCTTGGTATTCAATTTTCAATTTGAAATGTCCTTTCTGTCTCAACTGCACTTCACTTCACAATCACACTGCCTCTCCACTACCTTTATTCTGTCTCTCTGAGATTGTTTATATCTAACCCTTCCAGCATTTGTTTCCAAGTATTTGTTCCTAATGCCCAACATTGGTTTTATGTTCCAATGTCTAAGTATTGTTTACACTCTTTCTCCCTCCCACAGATACTTTAATAAGCCCTGTTTTTATAACTCAGACTTCCCCTAAAATTCTATGCATACTCCTGACAAACTCAGTAATATATTTTTTAATTCATACTGACATGTTTTGACGTGCCCATTCCACATCAAATCAGTTGTCAAGCTCTACTACCTTGCTTTGTCAGTGTTTGTTTCCTTTCCCTCCTCCTTCAAAGGTTCAGCTCCAGTTCTAACTATGAATTCCATATTCTATAAAAGGTAATAATATTAATCCTAAAGAAAAATCTAGCAGACTAAAATTTGGGGTTGGGAGAGACCTTCTATACTATACAGGAAACCCAAAAGAAAGAAGAAAAGATTAACAGATTTGACCATATGAAATGTAGAAGTTTTCATGTAGTGTTGGGAATTGAAAGCCTAAGGGTCGTGACCAACTTAGCATTCCCCTGGAGGCTATATGATTAAACAGCAAACTGTTCATCATGAATGCAGAATGTAAGCAAACTCACATCTGTGCCTGCCAGCAGAAGGTATACTGAGGGCAGTCACTCCCTGGCACTGTGCTCCTTGAGGTTATCTACTGGAATATCTGGAGCCTACTGTTCAAAGAATACAGTCATGCAGGCCTGCACTAAGTCAAGCGGCTGACCACAACCACCCCCTTCTCCCTATCTCCTTTACTCAATAAATACGATGGGCTCTAGAAGCTCAGGACCCCCGTTCACTAGAAGCAAGGAGTCCCCTGGCCCCTTCTTGCAAATATACTCTTTTGTCTTTGTCTTTATTCCTGCACTCATCCTCCTTTGTTCAGTCCAGCAAGGTCTGCTGAAATGTAGCAGAGAATAAAAAGTTTATAGAAAAATCATAGATATGGAAAAAGTATTTGTCATACAGATAAACAATAGTTAGTATCTAAGCATTCAAAAACCCTTACAGGCATCCAATTAGTAAAGAGGAAGTCAAATTGTCACTGTTTGCTGATGATATGATCATTTACCTTGAAAATTCTAAAGACTCCTCCAGAAAGCTCCTAGATCTAATAAAAGAATTCAGCAAAGTTTCCAGATACAAGATTAATGTACACAAATCAGTAGTTCTTCTATACACCAACAGTGATCAAGCAGAGAATCAAATCAAGAACTCAACCCCTTTCACAATAGCTGCAAAAAAAATAAAATGCTTAGGAATATACTTAACCAAGAAGTAGAAAGATCTCTACAAGGAAAACTACAAAACACTGCTGAAAGAAATCATAGATGACACAAACAAATGGAAACACATCCCATGCTCATGGATGGGTAGAATCAGTATTGTGAAAATGATCATATTGCCAAAAGCAATCTATAAATTCAATTCAAACCCATCAAAATACCACCATCATTCTTCACAGAATTAGAAAAAAACAATTCTAAAATTCATATGGAACCTAAAAAGAGCCAACATAGCCAAAGCAAAACTAAGCAAAAAGAACAAATCTGGAGTCATCACACTAACTGATTTCAAACCATACTATAAGGCCATAGTCACCAAAATAGCATGGTACTGGTATAAAAATAGGCACATAGATCAATGGAACAGAATAGAGAACCCAGAAACAAACCCAAATACTTACAGCCAACTGATCTTCAACAAAGCAAACAAAAACATAAAGTGGGGAGAAGACACCCTACTCAAAAAATGGTGCTGGGATAATTGGCTAGCCACATGCAGGAGAATGAAACCGGATCCTCATTTCTCACCTTATACAAAAATCAACTCAAGATGGATTAAGGACTTAAACCTAAGACCTGAAACTAAAAATTCTACAAGATAACATTGGAAAACCCCTTCTAGACATTGGCTTAGGCAAGAATTTCATGACAAAGAACCCAAAAGCAAATGAAATAAAAACAAAGATAAATAGTTGGGACTTAATTAAACTAAAGAGCTTTTGCACAGCAAAAGGAATAGTCAGCAGAGTAAACAGAAAACCCACAGAGTGGGAGAAAATCTTCCCAATTTATACATCTGACAAAGGACTAATATCCAGAACCTACAATGAACTCAAACAAATCAGTAAGACAAAAACAAACAATCCCATCAAAAAGTGGGCTAAGGACATAAATAGACAATTCTCAAAAGAAGATATGCAAATGGCCAACAAACTTATGAAAAAAAATGCTCAACATCTCTAATGAGTGGGGAAATGCAAATTAAAACCATAATGCAAAACCACCTTACTCCTGCAATAAAGGCCATAATCAAAAAATCAAAAAAACAGTGGATGTTGGTGTGGATGCAGTGATCAGGGAACATTTCTACACTGCTGGTAGGAATATAAACTAGTACAGCCACTATGGAAAACAGTGTGAAGATTCCTTAAAGATCTAAAAGTAGAACTACCATTTGATCCAGCAATCCCACTACTGGGTATCTACCCAGAGAAAAAGAAGTCATTTTTTGAAAAAGATACTTACACATGCATGTTTATAGCAGCACAATTCACAACTGCAAAATCATGGAACCAACCCAAATGCCCATCAATTAACGAGCGGATAAAGAAACTGCAGCATTATATATATATATTCATATATATATATGAATACTACTCAGCCATAAAAAGGAATGAATTAGCAGCATTTGTAGTGACCTGGATGAGATTGGAGACTATTATTCTAAGTGAAGTAACTCAGGAATGGAAAACCAAACATCGTATGTTCTCCCCAAAATGTGGGAGCTACGCTATGAGGCAAAGGCATAAGAATGATACAGGTGGCGGGGGCCAGCTACTCGGGAGGCTGAGGCAGGAGAATGGCATGAACCCAGGAGGCGGAGCTTGCAGTGAGCCGAGATCGCGCCACTGCACTCCAGCCTAGGCGACAGAGCGAGACTCCGTCTCCAAAAAAAAAAAAAAAGGAATGATACAACGGACTGTGGGGACTTGCGGGGAAGAGTGGGAGGTGGGGCGAGGGATAAAAGACTACAAATATGGTGCAGTGTATACCGTGTATACTCTCAGGTGATGGGTGTACCAAAATCTCACAAATCACCACTAAATAACTTACTCGTGTAACCAGATATCACCTGTACCCCAATAACTTATGGGGAAAAATATAAATATTAAAGATAATGAAATTATTTTTTAAAGCCCTTACAAATTATAGGGAAGTAATCAAACGACAAGAAAAGACGATTACAGAAGGACAGATACAAATGATCGACAAGCATTTGAAAAGATGCTCAAATCCACCAGTCATCAGAAAAGAAGCAAATTAAAACGACGACAATGACCTTAAGTTACATCCATCAGACTACCAAAAGTTAAAAGAGGAATAACATTTATGGCTGGCCGAGATGTGAGGGAAAGATTAGTCTCACACAAGCGAAAGAAAATACTGACATACTAAACTTAAATACATATATAGCCATGTATAGTTTTATTGAAAGACACCTGCTGGTTACCGCTAATAAATTTAATATGATTACAATTATAAATATATAGCTATAATTTATAATTAGAAAACTAACATTTTAAAATTACTCAGAAAATTCATTAGGATAAAACTTTTGTAACCACATTTACCAAGCCTTTGGTCAAAGCTCATATAAGAATATAAACCTCTCAAGATAAATCCCATCTCTTTAGGGGTAGTGGTTAAGCGTTTTGGCTCTAGAGATACAAACTGTGGGTTCAAACCTTAGGAGTATCACCAGATCCAAGAGTTTTGAGATGGCTTAACCTCTTGGAACTCTCAGTGTCTTCATTTATAAAAGCTTTATTAGCCTAGAAATAAATGTTAGTAATGTTTTTTTTTTATTGCCTGACAACTAGAAATTGAGCATAAAGCCTGAATAAAGCACATACTAAATAATCAAAGCATGGATATTCAGAAATGAATAATAATTCCTTACATTAAGCCACATAATTATCACAAATCTTTGATTTCTTTCTAGGAATAATGAAACATTATTCTTACATTAGTAGATATGCAATATCATGAGGCCTTAGGTTAAGATAAGATTGTTTCCATTCTAAAAATCTTTTCAATAATTCATCTGCCTCACCAACTGTAGAAATCTTATTTTCATCTGACCAAACCTCCAATGATGACAGCACAATAGTAACTTTAAATTGGGCAAACATCTAAAAACAGAAGAGATAAATACATGCATAATTACTATTTATGTTATCTTATAAAAACCCAGAAATTAATTCGATGTTTTTACAATCCCATACTCAGTTTATATGGATGGGTTAATTATCCAGGAATACCATATCAAGTTTAGGCAAATTATCATTTCAAAACAAAAATTATTTTAATATGAAAAGAAAAATACTTACTGAATTTGCAAGGCCAACAATTTCAATGACTTTATTTGTCACTACCATGCTATCAGAGCCCCAGTAATCATACTGAAAAACAGAATTAATTTTATACTTAAGTACAATTTATTATATAGTATTTTTAAGATTCATTTCCATCTACTATCAGAGGTATGAGGCTGCTTTGGGGTTCAGCAGTTCAAAACAAAACATTAATAAGTGAAAAATGAATATATACTGGATCCCTCAGGCATTGCTGGTGGGAATGTAAAATGGTACAGCCACTCTGGAAAATAGTTTGGTAACTTCAACTTCTTTGAAATCAAAACAAAGAATGGATTTACTATATGGCTCAGCAATCTCACTTCTGAGCATTTATCTCAAAAAACTGATGCTCACACAAATACTTGTACATGAATGTCCATAACAGCTTTATTCATAATAGCTAAAAACTAGAAACAACTCATATGTCCTTCAATGGTTAAATGGTTAAATAAACTGTGGTACATTCCTACCATAAACTCAGCAATAAAAAGAAACAAATGCTGATATATGGAACTGCCTGGATAAACTTCAAGAAAATTATGCTCAGCATGAAAACATAATCTCAAAGGGATACAGACTGCTTGATAACTTTATGCAATATGTGTGAAATCACAAAGAAGGAGAATGGCTTAGTGGACCCCCAAGGGCTCAGAAGAGGGCAGGGGATTGGTGTGGCTCTAATGGGATCACATAGGAGACTCCTGTGGTGATGGTACTGTTGAGTATCTCGATTGTGGCAATGGTTATGCAAGGCTACTTATGTAATACCATTGCATAAAACTGCACACACATGCACATACACAAATGAGTGTGTGTGTGTATACATACATATACGTCGCTCTTGAAATCTGAAAAACTGGATTGCAACTACATCAAACTGCACATATCCATAGACAAACTCTCTACAGTACATCACCTTGGACGTTCCACAGGAGCCTCAAATTATCCCAAAGTAAACTCATATCCAAAACTAAAATAAATATATTCAAAACTAAACTCATCATCTTCCTTCAAAAATCTGTTCCTACTTATATTTTCACTACTTTAGTGAATGGTATTATTATCTAACACATCCTACATATATTACACTATATGCTCCATGAGAGCGGAAATTGTTCTGTTGTATTCACTGCTATATTCCCAACGGCTAGAACAGCAACTGTTATCTAGATGATGCTCAGTGAATTTGCTAAGTAAACGAATAAATCAATCAAATCAAGTTCTTCTAGTTCAACCCAATCAGTAACTTTTAAAGTTGTTCCTTTATTTTTATTCTTGATGCCACCTATTTATAAGTTTTCACCCTGATTATTAAAATAATCTCTTAAATGATTCCTCCCCCTCAATTTTCCCACCAGCAATCTGGTCCCTACACTATTACCAAAATGATTACTCTAAGGTAAAATAGAAATATGTCACTCCCCTATTTAAAATATTTCAATGACACTTTCCCTCCTTACTGACCTCAGTACTTCCCTTTGTGGGCCCTGAATGATGGAGAGTGCCCCCTACCATTGGAAACTGAGTATGTACTATGTACAGTTAAACAGACTGTCTTTTCAATAGCAACCATCTCCTGATCTGTTGGCTTCAATATACCTGAGTAATAATAAAACCTACATTTTAAAACACCCACTTGGATGTTCTTATAGTATAACAACTTACAGTTGTGTTTCCATGTCTGTCTCCATTATTAAACTGTGTATATATAGAACCATATGCTTTCTACAATCATGGCAATGAATTCACGATGCCATAATTATAGATTTACAAATTATAAAGTCACTGAAGGAACTATGAATACTATGATTGTTTGTTTGTTTGTTTGTTTTTGACATGGAGTCTTCCTCTGTCACCCAGGCTGGAGAGCAGTGATGCGATCTCGGCTCACTGCAACCTCCACCTCCCTTGTTCAAGCAGTTCTCCTGACTCAGTCTCCTGAGTAGCTGGGACTACAGGTGTGCACCACCATGCCTGCCTAATTTTTGTAGTTTTAGCAGAGATGAGGCTTCACCATGTTGGCCAGGCTGGTCTCAAACTCCTGACCTCAGGTGATCCACCCAACTCAGCTTCCCAAAGTACTGGGATTACAGGCATATACCACGCCCTAACCAAGGGGTTTTTTTATTAAAGAAAATGTAAACATGTATAAGAACTTAAAGTAGTAATGTTTAATCAGCATTATATGACTTGAAAACCTGGCAATTTGGACAAGCTTTTGAAACTACTCTCAAAATATATAACATAATCCAAAAACAGAAGAATTTTCATAATCCAAAATATTTCCTGGAAACTTAGTTGTGTTTACCAGAAATACCTCAATTTTCTCTCAGCTATCTCAATGTCTCAACGTTCTCTTAAATGTTCCCTTTGCCCTTTTCCCTGTACTCTAATAAATCAAGTTATTTTCACATCTTTCTCCAAATCCCTCCTGGTCCCTGACCTTAACTCTGGCTTCCTGACAAGCTCTAAACTCTAGGAATAGAAATTGCCAATGAGGACTAGTCATACCCACTGTGGTGTTCCGTAGGTATACACAAACAGCTGCTTATCATCAGAATAAAACCTAGAAAGTATATTTTTAATCTCTATTTTCTGAAATCTTTCAACTATTAGAAGAAATAAAGACATATCTAGTTGACCGCAAACTAAGTTATCACCCCAAGGTTCTGAAATTCAGAGGCCTCAGACTGTTTATGGAAATTAAGAATCTCGAGGTACTCTTTTCATCAGGTAAACGATGGACTAGAATGGGCGCCCCACCAAAAACTGCTAAAAAACATCTTGACTCATTAGTGGAAGTCATTCTAATAGATAGTTATACTATCATCACTTTTGTCCCAATAAATATTCTAGGGTGGAATGTTCCCTAGACTACATTCTGCTCTTCAAACTTCCCTAAAATAGAATTTCACTTCTACCAAAATCACCATTAAAAGGTAGTATGGATTGAGAGGGACTCTATAAATGTGAAGTGCCAGGGAAAAAAAATACATTTTGTTCTGCAGTACTCTTATGTAAGTATTTCAAATAAAACATTTCTGACAAAACTAGTATTATTTTGACTATTTAGTTTCTCAGTTTGTACATTTTTCCACTATTGTCTCTATGACATGTGAGTAAGAACATTGGAATCTTTTCGTTTCTGTCTAGCTAGCTAGGGATAATCACACATTTGGAGCAAATATTTCAAAGCAAAGAAAAAGCAAAACACATACCAAAGCTTTGTCCACCACGATATGCATTTCTAGATAAAGAGGAAATAAATCTGGAACAGCTGGTTCTGACTAGAAAAAAGGAAAACCACATATAATACATGAAAAATTTCATAATTTTTTTACTTGAACTCTTCTTTAAAGCTATTACCACAGCACTTACAAGATATGCAGAGCTATTTGCTTTATCAAATTGGTTAAAATCCATAAATAAAGTTTTAAGTTTTATGGCAACGTACTCAAGTAGTTAGAAGATTGCCCATGAAGTTATAACATCTATCTCAATATATTTACAATTTCCAGTTTATGAACTAAGAAAAAACACCTAGCATTTCCATCTACTTCATCTGCATATCAGAAGTAAACTTTTGCTTTAAAAACTATATGTGTGTTGAGGTTTTTTTGTTTTTTGTTTTTTGTTTTTTTTGAGAGGGGGTCTCGCCTCTTCGCCCAGGCTGGAGTGCAGTGGTGCAATCTCAGTTCACTGCAAGCTCTGCCTCCTGGGCTCACGCCATTCTCCTGCCTCAGCCTTCTGAGTAGCTGGGACTACAGGCACCCGCCACCACGCCCGGCTAATTTTTTTTGTATTTGTAGTAGAGACAGGGTTTCACCGTGTTAACCAGGATGGTCTCAATCTCCTGCCCTCGCAATCTGCCCGCCTCAGCCTCCCAAAGTGCTGGAATTACAGGCGTAAGCCACCACGCTCCTTTCTGTATTCGTGTCCTTTGCAATATGACTTTTCAGTGCCTCCCATCAAGAGGTGAGTTTATTTTTCCTCTCTCTCAATCTGGGCTGGGCTTTGTAACTTGCTTGAGTCAATAAAGGCAATAGAAGTGTTGTTTTGCCAATCTTGAGCCTAAGTCACCTTTCATACTGCCATTCCTGATCTTGGAACCCCTGCCTGTACACATCTGACCAGCCTGCCAGATGATAAGAGCAAATGGCCTATTCACGCCATTGCCCCAGAAAAACATACAAATAAAAAACTAGACAATGCTTGAGGGGGAAAAAAGCTGCTGGGTTTCTATAAGAGAGTATTGTGGTCCTTGAACTGACCCACCTACCATCCCATCTCACACATCCAGCTCATTGGCATCCATGAAGATAGAGGCCCACGTTCCTGGTGTGGCTTTCCCATGCCAGAGGAAGAAATACCAAATTTGTTCTCAAAGAATTATGGTTATGTGTTTTGAGCTGTCCAGTGGCTCCCTAACAGTTTTGCTCACAAGCTTTCCTTTGTTTCCTCCACCATGAAATTTCACAGGGTTGGAGTGGACTCCAAGGCAGTGTTTATAAAAAGCATTTCAAGGCAAATATACTGGCCGGAGCCCTTGGAGCAAGGAAAAATGGACAAGAAAAGCAGAAGGCACACTAAAAAGTCTAGGAAGAAAGTGGCTGGGTAAGGAAATGGGTGGAGAAATGAAGGCTTTGAAAACTTCAGGCATATACTGGGAAATCTAGAGGGCCACCCACATGCCCAAGGCTGGACACACACTCAGAAAACACTTGACACTAAGCTTTCTCCTCTGCCTGGCTTTCAGACATTGTACAAGCAAGAGTCAAGGCCAAGGGTTAGTTGTCAACATCTGGAATAAGTGTTGCATGTATATCAAAACCCAGAGTCAATCTGTAAAAACCAAGGAAGTCTTTTTTCTTTTTCGGCTCCAGTAATTTAAAGAAATCTCTATCAAATCACTAGGTGACTACTAGACAATATTGTTCACAAAATATTTCTTTACTTTAGAGAAGTCAGTAAACAAGCAAACAGCTACAACCCACAGCAAGCAGTAACAACAGACCTTGCTAGGGAGTGAGGAAGAATCTGATTTCCAGCATTACCACATCAAAATACTCAAAATGTTCAAATTTCAACAACAACAAGAAAGTAGTATGGCCCATTCTCAGAAAATTAGAAATAGAAATGGTACCTCTGGAAGCCCAGACATTGTACTTACTAGACAAAGAAGGTAAATTAATTATCTTAAAATACGTTCAAAAAGCTATGAAAAACTGTGTAAAAAAGCTAAAGGAAAGCAGAAGAATGATACTTCACCAAATAGAGAGTATCCATAAAAATACAGAAATTATAAAAAGGAAGTTGTGGAGCTGAAAAGTAAAATACATGAAAATTCACTAGGATTCAATAACATAGTTGAGCAAGCAGAAAAAAAGAATCAACAAACTTCAAAACAAATCAATCAAGATTATTCAACATGAGGAGCACAATAAAAAAAAGAATAAAGCTCTACCAGCAGAATTTGATGGCATGATGTCTTGCAGGAAATCCTTTGCTCCAAGACATGCGTCCCTGGGCTTCCTGCCTTGGAAACACAGCAGTAGGCATCATGGTAAGGTGAAGAGCTTCCCCAGTGATGACCCTTCTAAATTGGTCCACCTCAAAGCTTTCATGAGATACAAGGCTGGCATGACACATTGTGTGGAAAGCTGACCGGCTAGGACCCAAGGTGAACAGGAAGGAAGTGGTAGAGGCTGTGACCATTGTGGAGACACTGCCCATAGTGGTTGTAGGCATCCTGGGCTATATGGAAACCCCTCAAGGCCTCTGAATTTCTAAGACCATCTTTGTTGAGCACATTAGCAATGAGTGCAAAAGGCGCTTCTATAGGAACTGGCACAAAGCTAAGTAGAAGGCCTTTACCAAGTACTGCAAGAAATGGCAGGGTGAGGATGACAAGAAGCAGCTGGAGAAGGACTTCAACAGCATGAAGAAGTACTGCCAAGTCATCCGCATCAATACCTACACCCAGATGCACCTGCTTCATGTCAAAAGAAGACCCATGTGATGGAGACCCAGGTGAACAGAGGCACTGTGGCCGAGAAACTGGACTGGTCCCTGGAGAGGCTAGAGGACCAGGTACCTGTGAAACAAGTGTTTGGGCAGGACAAGATGATTGACATCAAATGGGTGACCAAGGGCAAAGGCTACAAAGAAGTCACCAGTCATTGGTATACCAACAAACTGCCCTACAAGACCCACTGAGGGCTGTGCAGGGTTGCCTATATTGGGGCATGGCATCCTGCCCATATGACCTTCTCTGTGGCATGTACTGGGCAGAAAGGCTACCATCATTGCACTGAGTTCAACAAGAGGATCTATAAGATCAGTCAGGGCTACTTCATCAAGGATGGCAAATTGATCAATGCCTCCACTGACTATGACCTGTCTGACAAGAGCATCAACCCTCTGGGTGGCTTTGTCCACTATGGTAAAGTGACCAATGACTTTGTCATGCTGAAGGGCTGTGTGGTGGGAACTAAGAAGCAAGGGCTCATCCTCCACAAGTCTTGATGCAGACCAAGCAGTGGGCTCTGGAGAAGACTGATGTTAAGTTCATTGAGACTACCTTTAAATTGGGCCATGGCCACTTCCAAACCATGGAAAAGAAGCATTCATGGGACCACTCAAGAAAGACCAGATTGCAAAGGAAGAAGGAGCTTAATGCCTGGAACAGATTGTGCAGCTGATGGGATCTCAATAGAAGTTATCTGACACTGAAAAAAAAGAGTGAAGAAAAATGAACAGAGCCTAAGAGACCTATGGGACACCATCAAGCACATATATAAGAAGAGTTCCTAGCAGAAGAGGAGAAAGGGACAGAAAGAAAATTTGAAAAAGTAATAGGTAAAAACCTCCCCAATTTTATGAAAGACATGAATCTACACATCCAAAAGGCTTAACAAACTCCAAGTAGAATAAACTCAAAAGAATTCACACCAAAACATATTATAATCAAGTTGTCCAGGCCGGGCGCGGTGGCTCAAGCCTGTAATCCCAGCACTTTGGGAGGCCGAGGCAGGCGGATCACAAGGTCAGGAGATCGAGACCACTGTGAAACCCCGTCTCTACTACAAATACAAAAAAAAAAAAAAAATTAGCCGGGCGCGGTGGCGGGCGCCTGTAGTCCCAGCTACTCAGGAGGCTGAGGCAGGAGAATGGCGGGAACCCGGGAGGCGGAGCTTGCAGTGAGCCGAGATCGCGCCACTGCACTCCAGCCTGGGCAACAGCGTGAGACTCCGTCTCAAAAAAAAAAAAAAAAAAAAAAAAAAAAAACATATTATAATCAAGTTGTCCAAAGTTAATGATAAAAAGAGAACCTTGAAAACAGCAAGAGAAAAGCAATTCCTCACAAATGAGAGATCTTCAATAATATTAATATCTAATTTCTCATTAGAAACCAGGGAGGCCAGAGGCAGTGGGATGACATTTAAAGTGCTGGAGGGGAAAAAAACTGTCAAACAAGAACTCTATATCTGACAAAACTATCCTTCAAAAATAAAGGAGAAATTAAGACATTCCCAGATAAATAAAAACTGAAAAAGTTCATTGCTAGTAGACCTGCCTGCTTATTACAGGCCAAATGGTATCCCAGTAAAATTCATATGTTAAAGATCTAACCCCATTATATCACAGAATGAAGCTGTATTTGGAGACAGGGCCTGTAAAGAGGTAATCAGATTGAAAATTAGGTCATTAGGATGGGCTCTGATGCAATGTAACTGGTATCCTTGTAAGAGAAAATTAGAACACAAACACAGAAGGAAGACCTTGTACAGACACAGGGAGAGGACGGTTACTTATATGCCAAGCAGAGGGGCCTCAGAAGAAACCACAACTTGGTTAACACCTTGATCTCAAACTTCTAGGCTCCAGAACTGTGAAAAAATACATATTCTCATTTATGCTACCCAGTCCATGGTAAAGTTATGGCAGCTGTAGTAAACTAATACACTGCCCTACAAGAAATGCCAAAGGTAGTCCTTCAGTTTAAAATGAAAGCACACAAAACAGTAACAAGAAGCAATAAAAGAAATTTAAAACACAGTAAAGGTAAATACATTGGTAACTATAGAAGATATTATTATTGCTGGGTGCAGTGGCTCACACTTACACTCCTGACACTCTGGAAGGCCAAAATGGGAGGACTGCTTGAGTCCAGGAGTTTGAGACTAGCCTGGGCAACAAAGGAAGACAGAGTCTCTACAAATAAACAAATTAGCTGGGCATGGTGGCACATGCCTGTGGTCCCAGCTAATTGGGAGGCAGAGGCAGGAAGATCACCTGTGCTTAGGAGGTAAAGGATACATGCAGTAAGCCATGATCACAGCACCAGCACTGCACTCCAGCCTGGATGACAGAGTGAGACCCTGCCTCAAAAAAAAAAAAAAAAGATATTATTATTATATTTTTGGTTTGTTGTTCCTCACTTTTCCCCAAATTATTTAAAAGAAAATGTATCACACAATAATTATTAAGCTATTGTACATTGTATTATCATTAACATAGCTTAATGTATTAGATAATTTGTGATAATAAAAACATAAAGAAGACAAAGCTGTATAGAAACAGCATTTTGTATACTATAGAGGCTAAGTTGGTATTAATTCAAACTGTGATTGTTATAAATTTAAGATGTTATTGTAATATCCAGAGAAACCACTAAGGAAGTAACCAAAATTACATCAAGAAACATAAATGAGAAGGGAATCAAAATGACATACTAGAAAAAAAATCAACTAAACAAAAGAAGGCAGTAATAGAGAAACTGAGACAAAAAAAGATATAAGACATATAGAAAACAATTCGCAAATGTCAAATTAAGTCTTTATTGAGCCCAGGAGGCAGAGGTTGCAGTGAGTCAAGATCCACAACTGGTACTCTGTATGGCTTAGACATCTCTTTTCCTGAATCTACTGCCACACTGCTCTTTATATTTATCGTGTCATCCTGCTTCTGCACATCAAGGAAAACCCTACTACTTCAGAAATTAATCCATCCATTGACTCTTCTACTGGTATAAGCAACTACATCTTGAGTCTCTCAGTTCAGGAAGCCTCACATGTTTGGCCTCTGTCAATGTAATGCTATTGTCACACAAAGGTAGAGCTCTACTGCCTCTGTTGCTACCATTATTGCCACTTTGCTCTATGCATCCATCCAGGCTATTGAAAATCTTGACACAGATTACCATAAATTACAATGACATGCAGTAACTAAGAAAACATATGAGGACAATTTGATTTCCTCTCTTCCTATTGGAAAATGCTTTATTTATTTCTCTTGTCTGATTGCCCTGGCTAGAATTTCCAATACTATGTTGAATAGGAGTGATGCCAGAGGGCATCCTTGTCTTGTGCTGGTTTTCAAAGGCAATGCTTCCAGTTTTTACCCATTCATTATGATATTGGCTGTGAGTTTGTCATAACTAGCTCTTATTATTTTGAGATACATTTCATCAATACCTAGTTTATTGAGAGCTTTTAGCATGAAGCGGTGTTGAATTTTATCAAAGGCCTTTTCTGCGTCTATTGAGATAATCAGAATGGGAGAAAATCTTTGCAATCTACCCATTGACAAAGGGCTAATATCCAGAATCTACAAAGAACTTAAACAAATCTACAAGAAAAAAAAAAACACATCAAAAAGTGGGTGAAGAGTTTGAACAGACACTTCTCGAAAGAAGATATTTATGCAGCCAACAAACATATGAAAAAAAAAAAACCTCATCATCACTGGTCATTAAGAGAAATGCAAATCAAAACCACAATGAGATACCATCTCATGCCAGTTAGAATGGTAATCATTAAAAAGTCAGGAAACAGCAGATGCTGGAGAGGATGTGGAGAAATAGGAAGGCTTTTACACTGTTGGTGGGAGAGTAAATTAGTTCAACCATTGTGGAAGACAGTGTGGCAATTCCTCAAGGATCTAGAACCAAAAATACCATTTGACCCAGCAATCCCATTACTGAGCATATACCCAAAGGATTACAAATCATTCTACTGTAAAGACACATGTACACATATGTTTATGCAGCACTGTTCACAATAGCAAAGACTTGGAACCAACCCAAATGTCCATCAATGATAGACTGGATAAAGAAAATGTGGCACATATACATCATGGAATATTATGTAGCCATAAAAAAGGATGAGTTCATGTCCTTTGCAAGGACATTGATAAAGCTGGAAACCATCATCCTCAGCAAATTAACACAAGAACAGAAAACCAAAGACCACATGTTCTCACTCACAAGTGGGAGATGAACAATGAGAATACACGGACACAGGTAGGAGAATATCATATACTGGGGCCTGTCGAGGGGGTCAGGGGTGGGGAAGGGATAGCATTAGGAGAAATACCTAATGTAGATGACGGGTTGATGGGTGCAGCAAACCACCATGGCACGTGTATACCTATGTAACAAACCTGCACATTCTGCACGTGTACCCAAGAACTTAAAGTATAATTATATGTGTGTATATATATATATATACACACACACACACACACACACACACACATACATATACATATATATGAGGAACTTTCTGTCTGTCTTTCATTTGGCTGTTTTTCTTTCCTTCAACACTTGTCCAGACAAACGATGATATCTGTGGGAATCCAAAGCTTCCCCGCTTTCCAGATCATGCCACTTTCCAAATGATACAAATGCAATTTGGCTGACATATGTGCTCAAATTACTTTATTGTAGTAATTATCACTTCACTGTAAAATAAATATGTGAAAACTTCCTGGTGTTCAAAGGAAACCCAAAGATAAATCTGAGACAGGATTTATATGTAGATAATTTACTAAGAAAGTTCTCCCGGGAGAGACCAGTTAATGAGTGGGAGAAGCAGTATTAGGATGAGGAGGAATCCACACAAAGAGTGTGCTCTCAGACACAGTCCCACAGAGAAAATCTGGTGTGTAAGTTGTGCTACAGAGTGGTCCTGACCTGTAACAAGAAACTGAGCTCCCTTTCCCACACTGGTGAGGTGCTGGCTAAGGACCACCCTGGGGAAATGTAAATCTCTAGCAGTTATGTTTACCTTGCCATCTGGGCAAAGCAGTTTCAGTTGGCTGAAGGGCAGCCCACATAAAAAAGAGTTACAAGTGGCATATGTTCAAAGCAAAGGCATAAACAAAGACAGGGTGTCCCACCCTCCTGTACCACGCCCACAAAAATATACTAGAGAGGAATGTGAGGGGATCTGGGCAGGGCACTGACATTGTTCACTACGCTGGGTCATCTCAGTCATTGCAAATTAGAAATTTTTACAAGGCAAGAAAAAAAAGTTCAGCATCTAGTTCACAAACATTATTTGAAATTATATACATATATTTGCTAGCACTGAAAACTCTGGCGCTGCACTCTCATTTGGACCCTGTATTATTTAAGATTTAGGATTGCCATCCACACAGAGACAGAAAATAATAGTGAATTAAACAAACTTAGAGTCTATTTCTCTCTCACGTAAATTTGTGAAGAGGTATGGTAGTTCCATTCTGAAAATTCTTCAAAAGCAAGGCTCATATCACCTTGTTTCTCTGCTACCTGTATGGCATCAGCCTCATCCTTGTGGACCATAATATGTCAATATGTCCACACTCCAGCCAGTAGAAAAGAGAAAGAAGATAAAACCCCTCCTTTTAATATTCAAGCCAGAAGTAACACATATTATGCTTGCTCGCATGTCACTGGCCATAATTTTGTCATATTGCCCTACCTAAGAGGCAAGGGAGGTTGAGAAATACAGTCTTCGTTTATATGCCCAGCTAAATTCTGAGGTTTGGTGTTTGTTGTTGTTGTTGTTTGTTTTTTGTTTTTTTGAGATGGAGTCTTGCCCTCACCCAGGCTGGAGTGCAGTGGTGTGATCTCGGCTCACTGCAACCTCCATCTCCCAGTTTCAAGCAATTCTTCGGCCTCAGCCTCCGAGTAGTTGGGATTACAGGCGTCTGCCACCACACCTGACTAAGTTTTGTATTTTTAGTGGAGACGGGGTTTCACCATGTTGGCAAGGCTGGTCTTGAACTCCTGACCTCAGGTGATCTGCCCACCTTGGGTTCCCAAAGTGCTGGGATTACAGGCATGAGCCACTACGTCTGGCCTGGTGTTTTTTTCTTTACTGACAGAAAACAGGGACAGTATATACTGGAAATAATGAATACTGCCACACACTCTTGTATAAAATACTGATGCCAATGTTACTTGGCATAAAAATTTTCTCTTTCACAATTGCTTTTGTAAGCACCAACACATGCAGTTATATAGTGTGTTCACTGAACAATTTACATGACCATAATCAGCAATTCTGCTTATGACATTTTTAATTATATCTATGATTTAATTAATGCTGACTCATTGGTCATGAATATAACCTTTAAAATTATTGACTTGATTGAGTAACTTCCAGAAATGTAGAAGCAAAAGCAGGGACTGAGTTTTTAAAGTTTATATTGCATATACAAGAGGGAATTTTTGGAAAGTAATAAGAATATAACAAACAAAATAAGAACTAAAATAAAGCGGATCATAAAAAGTAAATGGTAGATTGGTGCAATGAGAAAAAGGTGATGTACGGTTTCAAGGAAATTGTTAGGTAACAGAAAGATGAACAGCCAGGCACGGTGGCTCACACCTGTAATCTCAACATTTTGGGAGATTGAGGTGGATGGATCATTTGAACCTAGGAGTTTGAGACCAGCAATGTAACATGGTGAGACTCTGTCTCTACAAAAAATTAGTCTGGTGTGGTGGTGCATGTCTGTGGTTGCAGCTACTCAGGAGATCGAGGTGGGAGGATTGCTTGAGCCCGGAAGGCAGAGGTTGCAGCAAGCCATGATCTGTCCACTGCACTCCAACCTGAGTGACAGAGTGAGAAAAAAAAAAAGATAAGATGTTCACAAGGAAAGGATATTTACTACAATTGTACAATGGGCTCATAAATTTATTTTTAAAATAAATTAAATGGAAGTAATAACTGCTTTAAAAGTAGTAACAAAACATACACAACTCACTTGTTCACTTATAGAAATGTTGTCATCCATTGGGTGTTCTTCCAGGCTTCTGTTATTTTCACTAAAAATTGCAATATCATTGTCTTCATTGTCTAATTTGTAAAGAACATGCTGAAATTCAACTGCAGATTCCAGAGGCTCAATTGCATAAGAAACATTTTCAAATTGCAGTATTCCTCTGTGAAATTATAAATACAATTTTAAGTGCTTTTAATCAACTCTATATAATGGATTTCTGACAAAATCCAAAAGAAAAAAAGTAAAACATTTTGAGTCCAGCATTTTGATCTGAATTCCATCTTAGAAATGACTCTGAAGAGACAAAAGATTTCCCTAATCCACAAAACACATTTTTTATTTCATTTCTGTATAGTTGTAAGAGCAGCAGAAGTTACTTAATCAATTGCTAGTTACACAGTACATAGCATAACAGTAATTGAATAATTCTATTGCTTTCCAAGTCCAGTATCTCAATTAAAACAACTGTAAACAGAAATCATGATGACTCTCTCTCTGGTTTGCCATGCTTTTGAAAAATGATTATACTGCATATATGACAAATATATACAGTGAGAAACTTTACTTTTAAAAATAAAATTTGGCAGAATTATGAAATATTTACTACTTTTGCTTATATACTCTTGAATAAGAAATTAAAAGCAAGATTTTAAAGAGTAAATGACTTGTATCACTATTTTTCTCTGAATACAGGTAACAGCCCAAGTCACTACTCTCTAAAAAACAGATTTCAGATCCAAATTTCAGGGTTCTGTGTAGGAAGCACTGAAGAAGCACAGTTGTGAAAACAAGCATCCTACACTACAAAATGAAGGTGGAAAATTTCCTGACAGAATGGAAAACTCCCTAAGCCCTAAGGAGGAAACCCAATAATTCTTGAAGAGCTCAAGATAATTAATATCATTAGAAAAATGAGTATTTTTATGAGTATTAAAAATTGTTTATATATAATTTGCCTCCTCAGTCGGAAGATGATTTCCTTGAGAAAAAGCATCTCTTGTTTAACTTTATATCTCCAACACTAAAATACATGGTGGGTAACATAAATACATTTTCAGTCCAGTATTTTGACCCAAACCTGTCTTAGAGATGACTCTGAGAAGACAAAAGATTACCCTAATCTGCAAAACCAACTCTCCATTTCACTTCTTTGTAGTTATAAAAGCAACAGAAATTACCTACACAACTGCTAAGTGTGCAAGCATACAGCATTACAGTGATTAATTTCCCTGTTTTCCAAGACAGTGACTGAGCTGTCCTAAACCTAGCTTCTCCAACACTTGTAGTCAAACATGTTCAATGGTCTTTTCTGTAGTCAAGGAAACATAAGACATAGAGCAAGGAGGCTAGGAAATCTAAACCACTGGAAAGGTTAGAAATGTTTCTGATCGGTGAGGAAAGTGAGGAGAAATAAGAGAATAGGAAACATGTTCAGAGGGGGATATCATTAAATAATGTCCACAGAGGAATCCTCCTTCAGCCCCACACTTAATACAAAGAGAACAAATTCATTGCAGCCAAATATCATAACTACGGTGTTTTGTAATCAACAATAGAAAACAACCTCAGTCCAGAGCACGTGCTGAGTGTGACCATGGAATCTGGATATCCTTCAATATTTCCTTGATAGTAGCATTGAGTCTAGGAAGAAAAAAAGTAAAGTAGTTACTTAGGAAGTGACAAAACTTTCTAGTGACTTCCTACTTCTATACTTGAGAGAACCTTCTGAATATTTTTCACAGGCTCCATGATTTTTATCAGTACAAGCAAAGTGACATTCAGAAAAAAATTCTCCCCATAATTGCCACTTACACTATATTAACTACACTTTATAATAGATTATGACTTGAGATTACTATTTTACACCCTGCTTCCAAAGTGTTGTCTCATGCTTTAGGTAAAAATATCTCCCAGTATATAAATTTAGGTCCTCAATTAAAAGACAAAGATGGTAAATGTGGATTTCTTTAAAAACCTAATTAATATGGTGCTAAAAAAGAGTCATAAAAATACAATGACACAGGAAGACTGAAGGGCTAGATGCCAACACAAACCGACAGGATGATTCTGAATTTGCACTAAGAGAGGAAATGTGGACTTTAAGGCCAGAAACATTACTAGAGATAAACAGAGACATTTGGTAATGATAATCATTTCAATTTGCCAGGAAGACACAAATATTCCAAATTGGCATTCACTTAATAACACAGCTTCAAAATATATAAAGTCACAATTGAAAGAATAGTAAAAATTTAAAAATCTGCAGTTATAAAAAGTTCTTTAAAGTTAATTTCTCTTAGTAACTGATAGATCAAGTGTTCAGAATCTACAAAAGGTTTGAACAACGTGGTTAGTATGACCTAGTTAATACATGCAGAATACTATACCTAAAAACTTTAGAATATATGCTTTCTAAACACTCATGGAACATCTACAAAATAGAAACCATACTCCAGGCCATAAAGCGGGACTCAACAGATTGCAAAGGAATTAAATTGTACAGAATTGGTCTCTCAGCACAGTACAATCAAGCTAGAGATACACAGAGTCACAAACATTGTCACAGATGTGAAAATTACATAATTTCCAATACCCAATGGTGCTGTACATTTTATTATAAATAAAGTTAAGATTTCTTAGTAACACACTGCTTAGATGGAACTAAGGGAAGGAAAAGGGAGCAATAAAACAAAATGATGATCCCATCCAATGTAAGTGAAGCAATATATCTAGTTTAATATTTCAACAAATTTTTATTATATTCCAAGTATATGCTAGGTACTTTTCTAGGCACTGGTGTTACATCAGTGAATAAAACAGACAAAAAGCCCTGCCCTTGGGATGATTATATTGCACTGGGGAGACAGAAAATAAAGTAAATAAATAAAATATATATGATAAATCATGTATTGATAACTGCCATGAGAAAAGGGCAAAAAAAAAAAAAGGTAAAGGAAATGGGGTGTTAAGAGTAAGAGACCAATTTAAAGTAGGGGTTAGTCAAGGACTAATAGGGTGATTCTGAGTAAAGACCTGAAGGAAATGAGGACGAAAAACATATGGGTCTGTTGGGAAACAACAAGCATTTGGATACCGGGAAATAGAAAGTATGAAGTCTTTGAAAGGAGAACATAGCTGTTATATTTGAAGAACAACAAGGCTGGAACAAAGTGAACGAGGTAGAAAATAACAGGAAACGAGGTCAGAGAGGTAAAAGGGAACCAGGTGATTCTGGCTTTCATTCTGTGAGTGGTAGGAGGCCATCCGTGGAGGGTTCTGAGCAGAGAAGCAGGGTAATCTGACTATGTCTTAACAGGATCAAAATGGTCACCATATTGAGAACTGACTAAGGCCGGGCACGGTGGCTCACACCTGCATTCCTAGCACTTTGGGAGGTTGAGGTAGGCAGATCACCTGAGGTCAGGGATTCGAGACAAGCCTAGCCAACATGGTGAAACCCTATCTCTTCTAAAAATATAAAAATTAGCTGGGTGTGGTGGTGCATGCCTATAATCCCAAATACTCAGGCGGCCGAGGCAGGAGAATCGCTTGAACCCAGGAGGTGGAGGTTTCAGTGAGCCAAGATCGCACCATTGTACTCTAGCCTGGGCAAAATAAATAAATAAATACAAAAATAAATAAATAAAATAAAGGGATAAATAAATAAAATGAAGGGATGGGCAAGGTGAGGAAGCAGGGAGATTATTCAGGAAGTTATGGCAATAATCCAAACTAGAGATGGCGTTTACTTGGAAATGGGTGGTCTCAGTGGATGGAGGCAGAGGAAGAAGGTGGATGCTGGACGCTTAGTTTGAAGGGCAGGGTCAATAGGATTTATGGATGTATAAATGATGGATGAGATGAGGAAGAGTTAAGAAAAAAAGAAAGAGTTTTTGATCTGTGATTTGTGTCTCATAACATTTGTGTCCACATTTCTTGTTAATTTATATTCTTACAAACAAAATATAAATAAATAATACATATTTTATTTAACAAAATATCTATTAATTAAAAAAATAGTGACTATGTTCTCGGCCACGTGAAAGGTGCTAAGTCAATCTAATTTGTCTTTACCAAAACTTCAGGAAAAGCCTGATCATTAATCAATAAATATCTTAAATATATCCCCTGTGAATCCTGAGAGACTTCTGTATAATAAAGCATTTATTTAATGTAAAAAAACATTTTTTAAAAGAACTATAAAACACAGAATTTAAATCGTACCTGAATATCTGAAGAACGAGCATTCATGGATCCTTGATCGTACAAATAAATCATAAAATTATCTGCTAAAAAATATCTGAATATAAAAAAGAGGAAATTTTTTAAATTATTCTTTCTGAAACATATAAAAACACAGTAAACTTGACACTCTCAGCCAAAATCTGACCCACCTTCTGTTTTGTAAATAAAGGTTTATTGAAACACAGCCACACCCATTCACCCACATATTGTCATGGCTCTTTTCATGCTATAAGATGAGAGATTAACTAGTTTTGACAAAGAACATATGGCCTTCAAAGTCTAAAACATTTACTGTCTGAATCTTTAGATAAAACATCTGTTAACCTGATATAAAGGTAGTATTTTCTTTTGACATATATTTAATGTTTACTTAAAGCAATATACATTTACTCAAAATAGTTTTCCTACCTTAATGGACTCCTTTTAAGAAGAAAAGAAGAGACTGAAAGAAGAGCATTCTAAAATGTAAAAGATGGCCGGACGTGGTGGCTCACACCTGTAATCCCAACACTTCGGGAGGCCAAGGTGGGCAGATCACCTGAGGTCAGGAGTTTGGGACCAGCCTGGCCAACATGGTGAAACCCTGTCTCTACTGAAAATGCAAAAGTTACTTGGGTGTGGTGGTGGGCACCTATAATCCCAGCTACTCAGGAGGCTAAGGTAGGAGAATCTCTTGAACCCAAGAGGCGAAGGTTGCAGTGAGCTGAGATCACACCACTGCACTCCAGCCTGGGCGACAGAGTGAGACTCCGTCTCAAAAAAAAAAAAAAAAAAAAAACTTAATAGACATAAACAGGATGTTGGATTGTAAGAGTTTTCTGTTCTTACATTCTTTATAAAGCTTTATTACTATGCACATATATTACTTTTATAATGAAGTGGAAGAGTATTGTATAAAGGTCATATTCATCTGAGCATATGTACTGAAACGTCCAGTCTAAGTTCAACTTTGGTATTAATCCCTGTACTCATGATGCTATTTTAGTTATGCTTCCTCACTTCATGTTCACTCTTCAACCCAACGTAACTTAATTAGGCCATCCACACTAGCTTCTGTTGGAAAGCCTCCACTCAAACCGATCTCACAAATATTACTAATGACCTCCTGACTGTCCAATCCAAAAGACAGTTTTATGTCAAGTAAAAATACTCTGAGGCAGCCAGGCGGGGTGGCTCACTCCTGTAATCCCAAAACTTAGGGAGGCCGAGGTGGAGGGATTGCTTTGGGCTCAGGAGTTTGAGACCAGCCTGGGCAACAAGGCAAAACCTCATCTCTACCAAAAATACCAGAATTAGCCAGGTGTGGTGGTATACTCATGTGGTCCCAGCTACTCAGGAGGCTGAGGCGAGAGGATCACTTGAGCCAGGAGTTCAAGGCTACAGTTAGCTGAGATTGCACCACTGCTTTCCAGCCTGGGTGACAGAGAGAGACCCTGTCTCAAAAACAAATACATAATAAAAATAATTTTAAAATAAATAAAACAAAAAAATAAATAAATAAAATACTCTGAAGTATTTCCTACTGTGGACCACATTCCCCTTCTTGAAACCATCTCTTCTTCAGCGATAATGATAGATACCAGTTCCTCCTGGCTCTCCTGTCTTTCTACATTTTTAAGTCCCTTTATTTGGATCCTTCCTTCATCCCTTAAATGTTTCCATGGCACTCAATTCTAGGCTGATTCTCTTTCTTACCTTTAACATTCACCCCCACCTGTATAGATTTATCTTGTTCATTTCTGTGGTTTCATTTACCGCTTATATAAAAAGGTTGCTTTGAGTATTATAGCTTTGCAATATATTTGAAGTCAGGTAGTGTGATGCCTCCAGCTTTGTTTTTTTTTATTCAGTATTGCTTTGGCTATTCAGGGCCTTTTGGGGGTTCCATAGGAATTTTACTATTTCTGTGAAAAATGTCATTGGAATTTTGGTAGGGATTGCATTGAATCTGTGGATCATTTTGGACAGTATGGCCATTTTAATAATATTAACTCTTCCAATCCATGTTCTTTCCATTTATTTGCGTCTTCCTCAATTCCCTTCATCATGTTTCATAGCTCTCAGTATACAGATCTTTTACCTCCTTGGTTAAACTTACTCCTATGTATTTTATTTTTTGTAGCTATTGTACATGGGATTGTTTTCTTGATTTCATTTTTGGAAAATTTGTTATTAATGTATAGAAATGCTATGATTTTTGTATGTTGATTTTATATCCTACAACTTCACTGAATTTGTCTATTGGTTCTAACAAATTTTGGTGGAGTCCTTAGGGTCTTCTATAAGTAATCTACATATAAGATTATGTCACCTGCAACAGGAACAATTTAACATCTCTCTTTCCCATTAGGATGCCTTTTATTTGTTGTTCTTGCCTAATTGCTCTGGCTAGTACTTCCAATACTATGTTGAATAGAAGAAGTGAAAGAAAATGGGCATCCTTATCTTGTTCCTGATATTAGATGAAAAACTTTCAACTTTTTATCACTGAGTATGATGTTAGCTATGGCTTTGTCATATATGACCTTTATTGTTTTAAGGTATATCTCTTCTAGGTCTAATTTGCAGAGAGCTTTCATCATGAAAGAATGTGGATACTCACACTTCTCTCCCCCATTCTAAACTAAATTAACTGCCATCAGGACATTTCCCCTTGTGGGATAACAAGCACTTCATATCCAGCATCTCCAACAGGGAGCCATAATACCTGACTCAGGTCTGTTCCCATCCTCCCTCTACCCCACCAAATCCCTGCCACCACTATAGTCAATCTGTTATTACATCTTTTTTCTGTCACATCAGCATTTTCTCAAAAACAGAAAAGGGAGGCTTGTTTCCAAGATGGCCAAACAGGAACAGCTCTGGTCTGCAGCTCCCAGCAAGATCAATGCAGAAGAGCAGTGATTTCTGCATTTCCAACCTGGTTCATCTCACTGGGACTGGCTGGAGAGTGGGTGCAGCCCACAGAGGGTGAACTGAAGCAGGGTGGGGTGTCATCTCATGTGGGAAGTGCAAGGGGTTGGGAGATTTACCTTTCCTAGCCAAGGGAAGCTGTGACAGACTGTACCTGGAGAAACTGTACACTCCTGACCAAATACTGTACTTTTCCCACAATCTTAGTAAGCAGCAGACCAGGAGATATTCTCCTGTGCCTGGCTCAGCAGGTCCCATGCCCATGGAGCCTTGCTCACTGCTAGCCCAGCAGTCTGAGATTAACCTGCAATGCGGCAGCTTGATGAGGGGAGGGTCATCCGCCATTACTGAGGCTCGAATAGCCTACAGTGTAAACAAAGTGGCCAGGAAGCATGAACTGGGCGGACCTCACCACAGTTCAGCAAGGCCTACTACTTTTATAGATTCCACCTCTGGGGGCAGGGCATAGTAGAACAAAGGCAGCAGACAGCTTCTGCAGACTTAAATGTCCCTGTCTGACAGCTCTGAAGAGAGCAGTGGTTCTCTCAGCATGGCGTTCGAGCTCTGAGAATGGACAGACTGCCTCCTCAAGCAGGTCCCTGACCCCCATGTAGCCTGACTGGGAAACACCTCCCAGTAGGGGCCGACAGACACCTCAAACAAGCAGGCGCCTCTCTGGGATGAAGCTTCCAGAGGAAGGATCAGGCAGCAATATTTGCTGTTCTGCAGCCTACACTGGTGATACTCAGGCAAACAGAGTCTGGAGTGGACCTACAGCAAACTACAACAGACCTGCAGCTGAGGGGTCTCACTGTTAGAAGGAATTAACAAACAGAAAGAAATAGCATCAACATCAACAAAAAGGACATCCACACCAAAACCCCACCCATAGGTCACCAACATCAAAGACCAAAGGTAGATAAAACCACAAAGATGGGGAGAAACCAGAGCAGAAAAGCTGAAAATTCCAAAAAAAAAAAAGAGCACCTCTTCTCCTCCAAAGAATTGCAGCTCCTCACCAGCAAGGGAACAAAATTGGATGGAGAATGAGTTTGACAAGTTGACAGAAGTAGACTTCAGAAGGTCGGTAATAATAAAACTTCTCTGAGCTAAAGGAGCACATTCTAACTCATCACAAGGAAGCTAAAAACCTTGAAAAAAGGTTAGACAAATGGCTAACTAGAATAAACAGTGTAGAGAAGACCTTAAATGATCTGGTGGAGCTGAAAACCATGGCACGAGAGCTTCATGACACATGCACAAGCTTTCAATTCAATCAAGTGGAAGAAAGGATATCAGTGATTAAAGATCAAATTAATGAAATAAAGTGAGAAGACAAGATTAGAGAAAAAAAAAGAGTGAAAAGAAACTAACAAAGCCTCCAAGAAATATGGGACTATGTGAAAAGACCAAGTATACATTTGATTGGTGTACTGGAAAGAGACGGGGAGAATGGAACCAAGTTAGAAAACACTCTTCAGGATATTATCCAGGAGAACTTCCCTAACCTAGCAAGGCAAGCCAACATTCAAATTCAGGAAATACAGAGAACACCACAAAGATACTCCTCGAGAAGAGTAACCCCAAGACACATAATTGTCAGATCCGCCAAGGTTAAAATGAAGGAATAAATGTTAAGGGTAGCCAGAGAGATAGGTTGGATTACCAACAAAGGGAAGCCCGTCATACTAACAGCAGATCTCTCAGCAGAAACCCTACAAGCCAGAAGAAGTGGGGGCCAATATTCAACATTCTTAAAGAAAAAAATTTTTAACCCAGAATCTCATATCCAGCCAAACTAAGCTTCATAAGTGAAGGAGAGATAAAATCCTTTACAAACAAGCAAATACTGAGAGATTTTGTCACCACCAGGCCTGCCTTACAAGAGCTCCTGAAGGAAACACTAAACATGGAAAGGAACAGCCAGTACCAACCACTGCAAAAACATGCCAAATGGTAAGCACCATCAATGTTACGAAGAAACGGCATCAAGTAACGGGCAAAATAACCAGCTAACATGATAATGACAGGATCAAATTCACACATAACAGTATTAACCTTAAATGTAAATGGACTAAATGCCCAAATTAAAAGACACAGACTGGCAAATTGGATAAAGAGTCAAGACCCATTGGTGTGCTG